GTCCCTTGGGGGTGATTTGTAGCTGGGCATGTCGCAGTCTAGAATGGAGTCGGAGATACACACAGACTCGTGATGTGTGAACCCGGTATCTGCGCTGTGAGGGAACCGTTGTTCGATGCTTGAGATGTTGTGGATGTTGGGCAGCCTCGCGCAGAAAAAATGTCACAATGCCATATCCCAGACTGGCCCAAGTCCTGCCGGCCAGCCTGATGATCAGTGGTGAAGAGCAACGAGACCTAGACCTCTGTCAAGAAAACTACTGGAATGTCTGTGTTTCGTCACCTACTCCGAAGGTTCCGTCCAGCTGTTCCCTAAAATCCGCTTTCTCCGGCCATCTCGCAGGATCATTCTTCCAAAGCAGTGATTCGAGATGTCGCGTGCACAGGATCCTTGGGTGCTGCTTTGTCAAACCATGAGGGATGAAACAGGCAAGCCTTGCGGCGAGAGGATGACATTCTTACTGCCCACGACACCCAAGCCTCTCCTCCCAGTCCTGAATGTGCTTGCGAACAGATAATCACCCAGCGGAGATCTCACCGGGACTCAGGACGGACTGTCTGAAAGAACAACACCCACGGCTGGCGAGAATACGAGCTTCGCGTTTGGAAGTCTGACCCAGACACCTCGCGAAGAAGGCTACATCCAGGCCCAGAACTCATGAATCTCCATTCGTCCTCGCAACCAGACCAATCTGTCTTAGAGGAACATTCGTCACAGTCTGACTTCTCTTCCAAAGATAGCTGGATGCCCTCAGCGTTCCCCTCGTCGCCTTGTCTTAGTTAGGGAGGCCGGGTTGCGTCAATCATCCATGGTCCAGCTGAGGTTACTTGCTGCAGGCCTCTCCGCATTCGGCCGCGAGCCTGGAAACGACTCTAAAGGGAAAGCTGAATCAGCCTGTCGCTTGAGGTCTTCGGTAATTCTCAATCGACGCTGCCTGTCACTATATCTGATGGGGAGATAGCTTGCGCATCTGGAAGGATGTCCTAGCAGCGCGTGGTTGAGCAATTGAAACACTTTCACCCTAGCAAATGCGGATCGCAGCTGAAAGCTTGCCGTGTGCTCGAAGCACAACAGCCGATGATGAAAAGCAACCTCACGCGACACCAGCTCATCGCGATTCGACACATATGAGGGAACGGTGCAGGGTTCGTGTTGACGTTCGAGCGAGCTGCGGGCAACCCGAGGTGTTCGGAAATGGACAAGCAGTGGCTTTGACTGTCGTCTAATAACAGGCAACTTTCTTACCTCTGTGGCTTGTCATGCACGCTCCGAAACTGCTGTTGCTGAAGCTTCTGCGCCGCCGACCTTGCAACGTCCTTCGGGACGCATGGCGAACTCAAGGTTCGTCCATGCAGGAAGACAAGAATACTCCCTGGCTCAGAGCTGGCTCACCAGTAACCGCTCTTTATCATATGCCAACTCGGGAAATTCTTCTCTCCGACTTTGTGCAAGACATGGCATATAATTTGTCAAATGTGCCGGACCTTTTTGGCTCCTACTCGATTAGGCTCGCAGATCAACGCTTACGTGACCAGCACATGTCACGGGAACCGGACATACCAGATATCTAGCCCCAGCTCGAGGTTGTGAGAGGCAGTCACCGTATCTTGACCGTCATACTTTTGGTTCCCTCCGTTTGCGCTTTCGGGAATTGGGGTCCCCGGTGGGCTTTGTGGCAGCTCCATTACTCGCGGTTCCTCCGAAGACAGAGAATTTGGCAGGCTCGCATCCTCCTATGCAGGGTTCTGTTAATGGATATACTCGTTCTGGATGGCTAAAGTTGGCGTCGATCAACGGCTATACAAGCTTGCTCAGTGGCCGGGCTCCCATGAGTGGATGACGCCGAGGAATCCGTCTTGGTCGTCTTGTGGCCAACCTACATTCTTATATTGAGAGAGTGTGACAAATAATGGTTGGCCCTGAGCTTAAGTCTTTCTCAAGCACATTGGTGCCGGCTGCGAGCGACCTTGTGAGTCGATGTTCAACGAACTGTGCATGAGAGCCTTTGACAGCTCATCTCGCCCTCATCAACGCGACATTGAGCAGTATCCCGCTTTCGGCCGGGTTCTCACCAGCTCTGGATCCGGCTACGGGCAAATACTGACCAAATTTATCGGTCAACGGAGTGGGAAGCCACAGGGCCGTGGAGCACCGAAGCAGGACACAATCAAGATCAGACATGGGAGGCGCACAAACACCAGAGCTGGCAACAGCATTGTCGACGATGCTGGGCTGAAAGGCAGGCGTCGCATTGCTCGCTTGTTGTGTTTGGTCATCACACGTGCTGCTGTCACGTACCACGGAGGCAGATGTCTCGGTACGAGTAGGCACACTCTTCGAGCTGTTCTGATGCCCATCTTAACGTCAACGCTTCTCGGGTAGCCGGAGGTAGTATTCAAGTGTCTGTGATCGAGCCCTGACTAATTACCAGAGCCGAGGCGGTGGAGAGTATTCCCGTGCTGCATTGGTGACACCGCTATGACTCGTCATGCAGACGTTGCGGAGCTGGCGCGTCAGGCACCATTTTCCCAAAAGTGTTGCATGGCGCGGTACCCACAGGATGCGCGAAAGCAGCAGACCACTGGACCTCCAGAATGATCGGCTCGGGAGCTAGAAGCGACTCCGGAAAGGATGCAGGACCGTCGTGTACTAGTGTGGGAGCATGTCACGAAGCAGACGGTGATTGCTTGCCAGCGGCGGAGGAGGAATGACCCTAATTGGCAAACAAGGTGGCAAGGTCAGCATGACACGGCGATGATGGCGGCCTCAGGTGCGAGTGCACGTCCGGCGATTCGGAGGATCTGGGGCCGGAGAATCGCTTATGTAGGAGTTTCAGTCATGTGGGATGCACACAGAGGGGGAGAGAGAGAGAGAGAGTGTGAGTACCAGGACTGAGTACATAATCCCATTCGGAGAATATTGCGAGGGTGATGACTGAGTGAGGCGTAAGTGAAAGTTGGGAGATTGAAAAGACGCGAGGACGGGTGTATTGTAAAGACCCATCGTGACCGGCAATATCGCAAGTGCAGTTACGAGGCTGTTACCGTCACTGTCTCCGTCTCAGCCTTGCAACCGATTTTGGCCCCGATTAGGCTGAGATCAAAGTTGCCACATGGCTCATGGAAGCAGTGGAAGCCTCATCGCGCTCGGCACACCCCTGAACGACTGGGTCAATCTTTGTCCCGCCGCTGGGCTGTTTGCGGTTAGGTGGAGTGGCAGGGGATCTCGTACCCAGTAGCGAGATATTGGCCGCCCACAGGTCCTTCGGGCTCTCGGGGACCAGAGTGGATGACCAAGACGACGCCTGCGTCTCCCCATTGGACTGCCGGCGATCACAACACCAGAATAGTCAAGGCGTGGCCGCTGGCTTACGGCAGGATTGAGTCAGCTTTTGTCGATTTCCTGGCTGCCATGCTCCCTGAAGAACAACTTTCTCGGCATCGCGTTTGTCGGAGACTCCTCACCTCCTGGTCCGGGTGGAGAGACATCCATGCGGAACAGAAACGTGTAAGCACACGGCTTTCAGGACGATGAGCCGACTGGAAGAGGATACAAGGCGCGCGCCATCAGAGCTCGTTGATGCGGCAGCCGACTGGTCGCTTCGAGTAAGCACCCCGTAGGGACCTTGCATGCTGCGTGCCACTACTGAACGCTTCGAGACATGACCTTTCTTCCATTCGCTTGCAGCGCTGGCTCGCTTTGGGATGGGAGTGCTGGAACTTGCTAGCCTTTTTCTTCGATGCTTACGTATTCAACATCGTTCCGGCGAGACGGAGCAGTACCTCGTACTCCAACGAAGACAAAGCTGGAGACCTGTTTGAAGGCCGGAAAAGGAAATCCACTGTCGAGATAGGACAAGCAGGACACACACTTCTTGGCCTTCCGCGTTTGCGTCCGGAGGGAGATGCGGCAGAACCACCCAGACCCACGGCTCCATCGCAACACTGACAGTGGATCCAGATTTCACGCTGGGGCCAACAGCCTCGGATTGCAAGGCTTTCTGTGATGTGGCCTTAAGGCCTTCCTGACGGGACGCCTCGAGGGTTGTGCGCTACGAATCCGCTGTGCCCATCGGACGGCTCCCGCACCTCGCTTCTCTTGAGCAGGCACGAAACAAGTGGCGTGCGGGTAAGATCTTATTAAGAAGTTTTACAACTCCTTTAATGGGAAACCCTCGCATACCCCTGTAACTGGCTCGCTTAATAGCGGGGAGAGGGTTTCGAAACCTGGCAGGTATGTTTACGTACGGACACCGCCAACGAGGACCAGGATTCAGCGATGTCACTTGACGGCCTGCCCGAGATCGGCAGGTTACGAGGTAAGAACAACACCATCCGAGAGACGATCATAGCAATAAACAGCATACACGCCGATCCAATAAGCGACGAGTCTCCAGTTGACAATCGCCTGCTCGAGTAGATGGTATTCGGATCAGTTCCCCACTAGGGGTATGGAACAGTGTGCCTATGTATGTCAACGGTGAGATGTTGTCATCATCCTGTCAAAATCTTGACGTCGTTTTATCGGTGAATACTCTGACCGGAGGCACATGAGCGTCGGAACCTGCATTTCAAACGGGGGCCAAGGCTGGAATCAATTTCGCCTCGGAGGCCTGATGACAAGGCTGCGCGAAACTGAGGCTGCTAAAAGTTTCTTCATAGCTTCGCCGGCTTGTGGCGAAGAAGCTTTTCGGATTCTGCTTGTTGTCACTTGATGCGGTAGGAGCGTACTGCACAGCGCCGCCCCTGCTAAAGAGCTGCGTTTCCCCTCTCCGTAAGGCATTATCCGTGAATACTGGATAGCCGGATGCGGAACCCTTGGTATTAGTTTGTACCCAGTACGAGGTACTGTGATAGTCGCTGGGGCGCTCGCACTAGTGATAGGGTGATCGAAGTATACCACAGGATCATGCGGACATGCCAAGCAGCAGAGGCCGACTGCCGCGTTGCCAACGAACTCCGTACTCGTATCAGCAGATTACAAAACGCCGACAGTGGTGATCATCCTCCGAAAGCGAACGGCGATGGCGCTATCGAGTTTCCTAGGTCATGTTCCTGCGACGTGTAAGCGACCGTCACCCAAGACGGGGGTGCAACTGGGGTGGTGGTTACCTTGATGTAATCGCTTCCTTTCTCCATGTATTCCGCATGTGTGACACTGGCGGCCTGTCGCTCGACCTGGTCTGCTGAACTCCACCAGGAGGCTGCTCCTTTCCACGCATCAAGGATTGGGTCGCTCGCTTTCCGGACATTGACCGTGAAATCCGAAGGCACCGTGGCTATGAGTTCCTGCCTAAGCCGTTGCTCGAAGCTCGTGAACATGGTATTTCCGCCAGTGAGAAAGACATCCTTGAGCAGGGCCTGTTGTTGGTCAAAGTCCGCAAACCGACCCATGACAATACCCTCAATGATTTCAACAAGACCAGCTTGGTCGACCCCAGCAATCCCAGGCTGAAATACCACCTCTGGCACTCTGATGCGTTCGACGTTCAAGTGGATCTGATTGCCTTCGCGCTGACTCTCTGGATCCGCAGGCCTCGCTCCTCGTAGGAAAGCATGCAATACGCTCTTGGTCCAATCGTTCTGCGCTTCGATAGTGTCCTTCTCCGAGAAATTCGGATCGAACTGCAGGAGTTCGCTCTCCAGCGCCTTCAAAGCGGTAAGAGGGTCTTCTTCTGGCTCCTCGTCGTCACTTGCAGGTTCAGTGGCGACCGTCCGGTAGACGCCCCAGTCTTCGTCGTTGGCCCCAAAGTCGTCATCATAGTCCCCTCCACCTCTGCGCTTTCGCTTTGGTCCATCTGAAGCAAGGTTCGCCAAGGTCTTCATGCGCATCTGGGAAGCTATGCCTTTGCGATTACTGGAATCTGCTTTCTGCCTTGCTTGCTCCTTTATCTTTGCGAGTAACGACAGTCGCTGTTGTCGGCGCCCTGCGAGCCACTCGTCAAAGCGATTCTCGCGGGTCTCGCGGTCCTTTCTCTCTTCTTCTGCCACCCGTGCTCTCTCACGTTCTTTTTCCTGTTTGGCTCTTATTCTTGCTTCGACACCGGACTTCATTAGTCTCTGATGCCGCTTCTGCTTGATGCCCTCTTCATCCAGTTGATCGTCGGGAACATCCAGAAGCGGAAACTTGGTCAGCTGTTCCTCGAGGTTCTCTTCTTCTTCGGGAGCACCCAACTCCTTGTTCCTGGATTTACTGATTGATTTGTCCAAGTCTCGGATAATTCTCTCCAGCGCGGCCTCGTCTTTCAGCTCTTCGTCGTCCAGGATTCGGCGCTGCTCCTTCTTGGTTGGAGCGTTGATATAGTCATTGTGCAAATTCTGATAGTATTCCAACTGCTGTTCTTTCTTGATGAGCTTTTCTAGACGCATTTTGGCGGCTTGCTCTTGAAGGCGTCGGCCAGACTCCTTCTTCCGCTCTGCTATCCGGGCAAGCTCTTCGGCCGATTTCTCGACCACAACTTGCTCTGTGAAGGGATACTGGATGAGGATATCTCGATCCTCCTCGAGACCCGACCAATCCAGATAGGTTGACAGTTCTGTCGCGTAGTCCGTTGAAAGATAGCAATATTGTTTGATGTAGGTCTCCATCTGCTCGATCGTCATCTTACCGGGGAATATGGGGTATTTCAAGCGCAACAACTTCAACAAGAATTCTTGTGCCTGCGAGCCTCCCCAGTTCAACCTTGCGCACATTTGCATCTGAGGTTTTCGGTTCAAGACAGGGATGATGTGCGTCGAGGTATGGGAAGAAGATACAACGAGCCCAGACTGGCCTTTGTTTTGCCGATAAGAGAACAGGCTGTCGATACCATAGGTGACACTCGGTGCGCCGTAGCATTCGAAAAGCATTTCGTTCATCATTCTCCTGCTATGGCCCAGGTTCGCGACAGGCTCTGTGACGACCAAAGGCCGGCCCACACTGCCCTCCCCGTTCACACCCAGCTTCAGGAATATATAGTCGTAGACGCCTTCCAAGATGTCCCAGTTGGTCGGGATGCTGGTGTGCTGTTCGAACGCCTGTCTGATCTGGCCACGCGTAGTAGCGTCCGCGTAGGCATCATGGCCCACAAATGCGCAGTATTTATTGAACTTCCGGTCTTTGAACTTGGCCATGATCGGTGGGACGAGGAATCGGGGAACCTTGTCGAAGGAGAAGCCGGCCTTGACCGTACTCGCGCCTGTGCAAAGCAAGTCAACCTCCATGTCAATACCTGCGCAAGGGTCTTCTTACCATTGTCAATGACAATCGCGCTTTCCGAGGGAGTCCCCGCACTCTGTTGATATCCGTCAGGCTTGGGAGGCTGCCAGCCTTTGAACGGAAAGTCTGGGGCGGCATAGATCCGCGGCTGGGATAGCAGCTGGGACTCTGGAGGCGGCGTAGGGAGTCGACGCTCCGCCGTGATGCGGGTGGTTGAGGTTATGGTCATCTTGCCGTGTCCATTGCAAGACTACCGTTGTGTGGTCCCTTGATCTGGGACGAGTCGATGAAAGCTGTTTGGAGTGTCGTCGTTGACCAAAGCTACGCGCAGATACCCGACAGGATTCGTGGTTGTTGCTGGCGTTGTGTCACTTGTCGCATGTAAAGGAAGATGATCAGTGGGAATTAATTTAGTTGGAGGGCGCGTCAAATGCGGAGAATGTTGCCAGCCGCGTCGGTCGATGCCGTGCAGTGTTGATGGAACACGTACTGTATCTCAAAGGACTATAATTTTCAAGTAAATCACTCGAGTCAGGTAGACTGCAGTCTGAAGCGGAGTTCGTAGCTCTGGTGCATCATGGGAATTCCTGAGATTGCTACAATCCGGGTGCAGTAACATGCCGCCCAACAGGTCATGCTTGGGCGGCTGTTGGTCTGCCCAAGCTGATACCTGTCAATCATCCACCGTCGACGGGAAAGCCACAGACAAGTCACCTTGTGCATATCGAGTTTTAGCATTTATCTGTCATACGTCCCTCCGGACAGTCCACTGTCATACATTCAGCCCATCACCAAGTTGTCCAACTCGGCCAGGCCTATCTGAGAAGCCGCCGGCTTTCCAAGCTCATCTTCCATCGAGCAGAGCACTCTTCGTATTCATAGGGGATCTTTCAAGTTCTCTGTTGCTAGAAAGTGTTAATAGTATCATTCAATCCGTTGTCGAACCGTTTTGTACCTTCAAGGTGGAAAAGCACGTTCGACTGGTAGTTCTTGAACATCTGAGCCACCAGTTCGACGTTCATGTTCTGGATGTTGACCTCCTGCATGCCATATTTTAGTCTTGCCCTCTGGCACTATCTTGATGGAGTTCGAACCTGCAAATTTCTGTTCATCATCATAACAGCCTCATTTAGTTTTTCCTGGTCATGCGATTAGTCTGGATTGGCGTCAAGGACGGGATCCTAGCATACTATGTTTGTTATAATCCGCGACAGGAGCAGAGCCTGCTGCTGTTCGTGGGGGCTTTCCTGTAGCAGATACTTAGTTCACGCCTGTCGCAGTGTCGACCTGGACTCACCATCGTGCCGTGGGATGGATGACAACAGCGCGATTCAGCCAAAGTGTTGATGGCCGACGCGTTTCGCGTTGGCGAGGAGCATGCCAAGACCTGTTACGCAGCAGCCAGTGTTGCTTCCACCTTACCCATCACTCATCTTTCCTTCACTTCAGATGTACGACGCTCCCAGATTCTTCAGCATTGCATATGAGCTCTTGCTGGATCGGGCTCAGATGCCTGCTGGTTCATATCTGAGTAGCGCTTCCCACGCCGCCTAATATAACCGGAGAACTAAAGATTCTCTTCTCACGATCTATGTGCCCATCCGTATTCAGCCAACAGCGCGTATAGAAACATTCTCCCGAATCGGCCAACGGCCTCGGCTCGGCGTTTTTGACCGATGTGATTGCATCATTTGGACAACAATAGTAAACAATTGTCCCCTGTGAGAAGACCATAAGTCTGAGTACTGTCGCCCTTCAGTTTAACCCAGGCTCAATTCTTCTTGTTGCTCTGATATTGACCGAATCTTTCATACGACCGAGGACGTCGATTCTGTATTTAACGAAACAAGTTCGGTCGAATCGCATAATGTCTCAAGCAGGCTCTTTGGCCTGCAAGAAGCTATTGATCATCGGGGCCACCGGGCTGATTGGGAGCCGAATCACCCAAGAGATTGTTCGCAATAAGTCAAACTTTGACAGGATAGCCGTCTTCACCTCTCCCAGCACCTATGAATCCAAGACAAGCGAGATTCAGAAATTAAAGGACGAAGGAGTGGACATTATAGTGGGAGATGTGACCAACGCCGAGGATGTCAAAAAGGCCTACCAAGGTGAGCTCACCGATAGGGATCCTGCTGTCCACTTGCTAATCCACGTAGACATTGACACTGTGGTATCTGCCGTGGGCAGGAATGTGATTGAACACCAGGTCGAACTGGTCCGTCTGGCCAACGAAAGTCCTTCTGTCCACAGGTTCTTCCCATCAGAGTATGGAACTGATATTGAGTACGGTCCGGCTTCGGCCAATGAAAAACCCCACCAGAAGAAGCTGAAGGTCAGAGCGGCATTGCAAGCGGCCGACAAGCTGGACTACACCTATGTTGTGGTGGGACCGTACGCCGACGGCGAGCCAGGCCTCTACTTTGGCGCAAACAAGGCCGTCAAGGAAGCCGGGACCTTCGACGTGAAGAACAAGGAGGCGGTTTTGATCGGCGACGGAAACTTCAAGATCAGCTTTACCACGATGAAGGAGTAGGTTGCGCCTATCCCCATCCGGAGCTCTAAACTGACAAAGGTCCTAGTGTCGGCAAGCTCGTCGTCTTAGCCCTGACACATCCGGAGGCAAGTCGAAACAAGGCGTTGCGTGTGAATTCGTTTACAACCACCGACTCGGAGATCCTGAAAGAGTTCGAGAAACAGACTGGTGGTCAACCGTGGAAAGTGAGCTACACGAGTCTTGACACTCTGAAGAAGCTCGAACAAGAAGCATGGGACGCTGGAAAACCGTATGCTACGGTTTTCACATTAAGAAGAATCTGGGCGGAGGGTGGTACCCTCTACGAGAAGCGAGACAATCATCTCATCGATGGCGAAGACGTGGTGGAAACATTAGCCGATGCGGTTGCCGAAGCGGTGAGAGTCCAGAATTCAACATGATGAACAGCGATAGTACAGCAGGAATGGAATCTTGGAAGAAGATACTTGAAGGTGAAGATAGCTCGAAACAATTCCATCCTTGCTGTTCGTCTATGCCCAACGCCAACCCGAACTGCAAGGCGACTTCATACTGCCGGATCATATGTATACTTCGTGCTCATGTCGTGTCTCCGTAGACCTTACTTACCAGCAAGCAAAGTCCCCAAGTTCGACGGATGAGCATTCTCTTGACTACCCCATACAACGAATGCAGGATAGCTATGCACTTGGCCGGCGGGGATCCCATTCGACGCCTGTCCGTTCTTCTTCACATGTGTGTAAACCAACGGTCCTGCGGGTATCTGACTGTAGTTTCCCGCTTATGCACACTAACTGCCGCTGCATGCCTTGTACAAACGATGGGACATCGAAGAGAACTAGGCCCATCGAGGCTGGGGCTGGGTATGCAGCTCGATGATAATGCACACCATGGCACTAACTCATGCCGGTAAATGATTGTTGGCGCTGAACAACTGAGGGTGCATAGCCTGTCCTCACGACTAACAATGCTTTCAGGTGAAAGATTCTTGAAGCACGATAACTTGAGCATCAGGTAGAGTTGTCTCTTTCCCAGAAATTCCCCCCTCCTGCCATGAAATGGGTCAAGAAGCGTCCAAGCCCAATCCGAATGCGCAGCTCCTGGTGATCGGTTGTGGAATGTCCCGCACAGGCACCGCATCCTTCAGCGAAGCGTTGAAGATACTGCTCGGAGGACCAGTGTACCATGGCGGAAGTCAGCTGGTCGGCGCCGGCGAGAAGCACATACGTGACTGGACTGAACTGTGCAAGCACACGCCCATCACGAACGAAGAGGATAGGAAGATCGTGCTCGCGGGGCTCAAGTCAATGGTGGCGGGATTCACGGCCGTGACAGATCTACCTCCCATCCTGTTCACTGAGGAGCTGGCCGAACTCTTTCCCAACGCGCATGTCATCTGCACCACCCGGGATCCAGAAGATTGGTGGAACAGTGTGCGCGCCATCACCTCGAAAACAGACACAGACGAGCGAGATGAGAGCATACTCCGCTTCATACTCGCGCTGTTGCCGACAATGAGATATTGGTACGCTTTCAACGTAGCACTGAAGAATGGCCGCATGGGAGAGCTTTATTACTCGTCGGGACACAAGCCTCCGCACGCAGGACAGTATCAAGAGCATATGGAGTACGTTACCAGAGTGGTGCCCCCCGAGAGGCTGAAGTTTTACGATGTGAAGGACGGGTGGGAGCCCTTGTGCAAGATCTTGGGCTGTGAAGTACCTGATGTTCCTTTCCCGCGCGTCAATGACGCGAAGGCGGCACAGGAGATTGTCATGACCCAGATCCGACGAGGTATCCTGGCATGGGTCGGTGTTGGCTTGAGTGTGGGATTGTTAGCTTTCGTGGCTGCACGGCGATGGCGTAGATGACTGGCAAGTGGGAGTGCACAGCTCGTACTGAGCCCAGTTATGGATATCATAAATGATAATGCTTCGATACAGGGTCGAACATATCGCTCATAGCCCAGGGAAGGCGACGTTCTCTTAAGTTTGGACAATCTGTAGCTCTGACCTCGTATGCGGATGGCGGGTCCTGTTCTGGGGTCTCCCAACGCGGGCCCGTGATTCCACCATCATCTGCGATTGTTCATATCCCATGCACAGTCACTCAAATTGAGGGCTCACACGTCCCAACGAACCCTTACAGGACTTTTGACTGCGATCACGTCTGAAGTCCCAAACCGCGTCAACGCTCAAGATGCCCTCGACTCCTGCGCCGCACGACGACTCCCACCAACAACTCCTCGACCAGATGGACATTTTCTACACGCCTAAACCTTTTCGTAACCCCAACTGGAAACCCGGTACGCGACGGAACAAGAACACCAAGCAAATCATCTCCGAGTCGCAACGGAAGGAAGCGTCGGTGCTAGCAACGCAGAACAACTCTGGCGCATCGACCCCTCTACCTGCGACGGGCGCGAACTCCGATGGCGCAGCTACACCCGTGCACTCCTCTGCGGGCTCGAGGCCCGTGAACATGGCACAAGCGACGCAAAGTCTTAGCACGCTCGTCCTAGAGCGTAATCTACAGAGGGACAAAGCATCAAGTGGCGCGTTTCCCGGACCTGCTGGAGGATTGACGGCAGGGCCAGCTGTCACATACACGAACATTGAAAGCGCGCCGAGTCTGCATCCTGCGAACCAGAAACGTTACTGCGACATTACGGGATTGCCGAGCAGATATACCGATCCGAAGACGAAGCTGAGATACTACGACAAGGAGATCTTTGCGGTGGTGAGGAGTCTGCCCCAGGGCGCACCAGATCAGTACCTTGCGGCGCGAGGGGCGAATGTGGTCTTGAAATGAGTGAGGAAAACGAAGACAGAGTCTCTACTACAAAAGCAGCGATCGTCCTTGTCGGGGGAGACAGCTTCGATCCGCACGTACTGTCAGGCCATCCAAGTCAAGCCCATCCTACCACCCGCAGACCTCTCGGTACAGCGGTTCCAGGAAGCGCTCCGGCTTAATTGTGGACTGTGTAATCTATTGCTCTTCGCCGGGCTGACACGATACCGAATCCTCATGGGCAAGCAGAATCAGTTACAGCGACTTGTAGGAGCTGTGGTCATGGCGGGTTGTTACTAGACACTGGTCTTCATTCTTGGCAGCAGTTCCAGCCCTTGACGGGGACATCACTGCGTTGCAGAGGTCCAGTGGTCGTCTACGGTCGGCGTGGCACAGGACATTGGAGTCTGAGCAGAAGGAAGAAATGTCGTGCGTGTAAGGAGTTTGAGGAGGAAGCGAAATGAATTCGAGACGTGCTGATACGAACGGCATCTTGAGCTTGAGGCAGGTCGGAGGCAGCAGGATCTAGTGGTTGTAAGCCGAGCACCATCAAGTTGCTGTGGCATAGAATAGCCCAAGAACTGAACTTTGTACGAGTTCAGATTGAGGTGGTAGTGAAGTGAGAGTAAAACTGTATAAGATGAGATTAACAGCGATGCCAGGAAAATGAATGAAATTGAAAAAGAGTTGAGCGAGTAGCGTCCCACTTCGACTCTCCAAATCTCACTCCGCAAACTGGCGACCCGCCTAACGGGCGTCCCTGACTGCGGAGTTTACTTGTGATAGTTCGTGATTCTTGCTTGGTTATTTTTT